AAAAACTGTGTCAGGGAGAGCTCACCCGAACATTAATAGCTTTATCGATCTGATCAAACGGGATGAGGCCTTCACCAGATATAATTAAAAATAAAACAACGCAAATACGAGAACAAACTATTCAAAGATCAGGATACAGCACTGTGTCCTGTCGGTTATCTTTTACTTTGCCCATCGTAGTTGCGCTATTTTGTTTTTAATTATGTCTGCATATCAATTGTAGCCCAAACTTGTACGTTAATCAACCTTGACAAGGGTACCTTTGCAGCAGCTTGCAAATAGTGGTGCCGTGCGGGCCAGGGGACAGCCGCGAACTATCAAAATCGGAGTGTCGCCTTTCTGATGGTGCGATTGTCCTGCTCGACGTCCTCAACAAAGGCGATAGCATTTTGTAGTTTATGGATTTTTCCTGTGAGCGCGAGGGTTTTGAGTTTGAACTCGTAAGAAAATGAAGTCGCAATCATATGCCCGGTCAACTTGTCTAATTTCTCACTCTTCAACATATCCCGTTCACTATAAGGAAGTTTTAGAATAACGTGCGTAAGCGCTTTGGGAAACCTAAAAATAGCGTCGCGATTATAAAACCTAAGGCAGCGCAAATTTTTGTTTACTCAAAGTGCTTGAGCGCGACACTGCTAGCGCGAATAAGCGATTGTAGTTTTTCGCAGTTTGTCTCAAAGAATGAAATGACTGCCATCAATATTATTAGTGTCTTTGAAAGTGCTCATCTGGGCCACTAAGCTAAGCGGTATACAACTTGGTACCTTCTAACACCATTTCGAAGTAACATTTCAACAATCGTCTACATCGTGTTCGCGGTAACGTTGTCGCGTTTCGTAGTCCCACATTTTGGGGACCATCTTGACAGAAACATTTCAAGTGGTTCAAGTAGAAATATCTTTCATTGGAGCTTGTCTGAAAGTGATGTATAGCTTAAGAATACGTTGACAATAAAGACTATTTCACAACATAACTAAATAGCTCGCCGGCACCTTTGCTTTAATTGCATTAACAAAATTTCGGCACCTATTTTTAATGAGAAAATGTGAACAAACCAGAGTTAGAACGATGGAGACTTTTCGCGGAGAGGGTGAGATGTGCGTGGCTTTATACCAATGTGCTTACACGGGACGGGCGCAAACGTAAAGGTGTTTCGGGAACGGGGTGAAAAGGGACAGGTTCAAATGGGAAGGGCGATTCGGGAATTCTCCAGTATGAGCCTCAGGCGGTTCACGAAAGCAGTCTTCCGGAGCTGGTCGGAGCGGTCGTCACGGTGGCCCCTCTGTGTGTGCCGCCGAGTAATTTTCTGCTAGTCGCCCCATTTTTGTGCAACTTCTGTTCTTGTGAAAATGGGCGTCTGGTGCAAGGTGCTATTCCTCCGATCCTATCAACAACGGGCATCGGACGGCATAAAGAAGGGCCGACCCCATCAAGCACCCTATAGGCAAACTCCTGCCGTAACGCCCCCGGCACCCCGTTTCCTTCGCCTTTTTGTGCGCTCCTCTCTACGACATCACGTAGTCAGTAAACATGTGAGTAGAGTTCCAAAACGAGTATTTTTTTTTTTTCTGAAATGAACCGCCGCGTTTAAATAAATTAGTAAGCTAAAAAAACTTTCAAATTGGGGCGCAGCGGCGCAACCCTTTTGATGGCTTCCTGGGCGGCGTCTCGGGTCGCCTATCCCCGGTCCTGGTATAAAGTCCTGGATATCGAAAAATATGATGCTCTTTTTTTTTCTTTGGGGCTAATTTGAAAGAGCAACTATTTTCTGCGGTTGCGGTCGTCACGAACGTTTACAGTTAGGGTCGATAGGTCCTTATCAGTGCTCCATTTTCTTTCTTTTTTTTTTTTTTACTAACTGTCCCTAAGCCCAGTTTGCACGCTTAATCACGTTCGGAATATGTCGTTAGCCTACTGTGGTCCTTATTGGTTCATGTTCCCTACACCGCTGCTTCACCTTGTCATGAATAGATCTATCCTTCTTTTCACCCATAAGAGCGTCGCATCTTTTACTATTAATTACACTAAACTCGGTCCTAACATTTCTTCACCAGATAACCTATAATTATATTGTCCTTGTAAGTAATTTTTTTATCAATTTCTTCATGCCCGGACTGATTCGTGACCCACCTCTAATATCCCTGCTTCAAGTGCGCTTGAAACTCTGTTTTAAGGGCTTTAAAAAGAAACTCATGAAAAAATCAGAGAAATCGGCTCGCAATCTCCACTCTGCGCGTGCCCAACAGAGTGCACTGGTTCGCCGACTTTCTAAAAGAGTTAAATCGGAGAACCCTTTGCAGCATTCCCAAGAAGGGGTATACTGTAATTTAATGCATTATACCCCATTTTCTTGGGAGTACCTCTAAATACTCCAAAGTGTGTATCCGTTCAGATGAGGAGAAAATTTGTCGACACCTGGTGACCTCACTCAAATTAGTGTTTTATTCAATTAGTTTATTGCAAATCCCTTATGGTCGTGCAAAACATTACTACATTATTTGGGAAAAATAGACAATAAAAGAGAGCACAGTCAATAAAACAAGTTTTCAAAATAATGATCATGCAACAAATCTTACAAACTAATAACTCACAAAGATGTTAAACGGTTGTCTGAGTTCATATCCTCGGCCTTTCGCTGTGGAATGAGTGATATTCAAATTGGCGCAAAGGTCACATTCGTTCACTTTTGAAAGTAGCCATAACGGTATATCGTTACGTTCGTAGGACGGTAACGAATATCAGTAGCCCGTTAAGTTTTGACAATAGGGAATTGTAGTAGACCGTTCCGCAGCCCGCTAAGCACCCGGATAGCGCTCCGTGATCCGCCACAAGACCTTGAACTATGCAAAGAAGGCTGGCGACGCGCATGCGCAGCTGCGCCGTTTTCCTCGGGGATACCGTAGCGGAGAGGAAAAACGATCTACTACAACTCCCTAATCTAACGAGTGACTCTATTTTGTCACATGTTTTCGGTAACGGGCACACCGGTGCTTGGGTTCCACTGGTGCAGAAAACCCAACACCCAACATCGGAGCACGGCCCCTTGAAGTTGACAGTGCGGTGGGAGCTACGCGTTTGACGAACCAGACAACCAACTCGTTTTCATCTCCTGACCACGCACTCTGCGTGGACATGGCTGGGAGCACGGACATCCTCGTGCTCGTAAGTTCTACCACTAAACCAGCTTATGTCCTTTGCACCTGCCACCAATGAAAATGTTTAGCGTTCAATATAATTGGGTAAGTAATTTTGAATGAATAAATTGCACATTATTGATTTGAAGGGCCTGGTTTCAAATAGAATCTTGCTGTTATGATCGAAAACTACTAAAAACACCCACGCTAGAATGATATGAGGCACGCGCAGCATTCTACGACGTTCCGAAGAAATGCTCAATTTGGACGCGTATGTAGGTTTCGGTTTCTTATCGAAGCACATCTCTGTGCCGGCGATCCCGCCCCCCGTGTCTAAGACGCGCAACGTGCGTGCGCCGCCACTCATCGCGCCTAGAGAAGTCTACGTAAGAAAGCTTCCGGACAGTCACATGAGGTCCGCCTTTTTGACATCGGTGCCAGAGTGAAGACGCACCTTCACGAGCAATGCGTGGCGGTGCACGCACGTTGCGCGCTTTAGACACGGGGGGCGAGATTGCCCACGTGGAGATGCTCTCCGATAAAAAACCGAAAGCGAGATACGTGTTCAACTTGAGCATTTTTTCAGAACTCCGTAAAATGCTTAGCGTGCCTCATGCCATTTTAACATGGGTGCCTTTAGTCGTTCTCAATGATTCCGAGCAATGTTATCTTTGAAACCATTCCTTTAAAACTAATATTTAACAATTTAAGTACGCGGAATTTATTAATTATCCCATTATATTCATCTCTAACAATTTTCCTTGGACAGACCGCTACGGCATCATAATTCTACTTTGTGCCGTGCGTACTTTTTGCAGTAGAACTTTTGCCCGTTTTTTTTCTGGAAACACCCTGTATGATGTCAAAACAAATATTTTATACGTTTGGGAACAGGACTCCCCCTCCTTCAATTCTGGCGCATCAGGCAATGACAACCACTGTACTGTCAGAGGAGATTAAGACATATTTAGATGGATTATACATATGCAGTTTTAGACACATAACTATAAACACAATGGAGTCAATTATGCCTTTAGTACAACAAATGCATATGATCCGTCCACTACAAGAGGAATTCCGAATATTTAAAATCCTGACGAATTCAAGTGAAACTATGCTTCGTTTAAGCTTAGGTCCGAGCGTGGCCGATGTTATGAGCCGAAGGGCCAGTCAAACAGCGAAAGAGGCACAAAGCCATGACGAGTTCTCTGCAGTTCATAGGACTATAGGACTAGCCGGTATTCACCATCTCTCTCTGCGTGCTACTCCACCGGCTAGTTCTATCAAGCGCAGAGAGCAGGCCATGGCTTTGCGCTATTTACGCTGTTTTATTGGTCCTCCGGCTCACAACATTGTGCGCGCTCGTACCTAAGGTGAAACGAAGTATATATGAACACCAAATGAATAGCACTAAAAGTATGAATATCCTAAATGATGAGAACCGTCCTCGTGAATGCGCAAAAAAAAAAATTATGCAAAAGGAAAACGTACATACGAGTATTACCTGTAGCAAGCACATTGAGTGATGTCATCAGAATTCAGATGTGGCCCTACAGACAACATATATACTCCAGGTGCATCACGTGATTAATGACGCTAAATGAATAAAACAAGATAAGGCTTCAACTATTTTCTTTTTCTCGTGTACAAAAAAGAACTCTGGTCGCTTACTCTAAGGTAAATTCACATTTTTTAGCTGTGTTTACGCGATTAGTAAGAGGCGGAAACATTTTGAACCATGCGAAACACACACTGCTCGCAAGTAAAACCCCTGCAGGTCTATCGCCAAATGAAATGAACGCACGTCGGAGGTCCAGTATTTCGCTTAAATCCCCTGCACAACTATGATGCACGTTGCTGTTTCGATCACTTGTGATGCATCTTCCGATGAGTGTGTAAATTGCTATAAGCCGCAAACGCTCTGCTGCAGGTCTCGCACCTGTACGGCTTCTCTCCTGTGTGAGTCCTCTCATGATTAGTTAAGATGCATTTCTGAATAAATGTCCTGCTGCACGTGTTGCACTTGAACGGCTTCTCTCCGGTATGAATTCTTTCGTGATCCGCCAAGGTGCGTTTATGACTAAACGCCCTGCTGCACGTGTTGCACTTGAACGGCTTCTCTCCGGTGTGAATTTTAACGTGAGATATCAAGTGAGCCTTCCGCGCGAACGTTTTCTTGCAGGCACCGCAACTGAAGGGCCTCTCTCCAGTGTGTGTCCTCTCGTGGATGGCGACATTTGCTGCGGAAGTGGTTGAGTAAGGACAGAAGCGGCACGGGTGCTTGTCCGGTCGTCGGTGCGTTTGCGGCTTCTGTGGGCCCGACCGGTTGGTGGGGGGAGAGGTGTCACCCCTGCAGCTGTCACGGTCAAAAGTATCCACCTTGTCGCCATAGCCTGCTCCGTTCCAGTCTGTTGGGATGACACGACAAAGCAAGAAAGGTCGGCGGATTTTTAATTGTTCTGAACATGGTCCAGAATACCTGCATTATGCCGGTGCGGCCTACAGTGGGGTATTCGTTCATTTGAGAGGTTAAAAATGTTCATTCGCAAAGCTTGTAAATGTCTACAGGCGATCGTTTAAGACTCGACTCTGGCAGCCCCATGGTGCTGCAGCTGTGGTGGCTTGCACGTTCTGCTAACCAAGTGCGGAAGGGAAGTCAAGCCGCCGCGGTCGCTGCTGCACAGTGTTGGCGGTAACGTGTTACAAGTAACGTCGTTACCTTTAACGCCTTACTTTTGTTATTAACACGGTAACGTAATCGTTACTTTTCCGAGACATTTACGGGCAATGTACTCATGTTAGTGGGTAACATAATTACGTTACTTATTACATCTTCCGAAAACTTGAAAAATGATGTTAGGACAGAACGAGCGGGTTGCTGGGACAATTAAACTTGAGGAAGAAAACGTTTGTCACTCCCTTCTTGTTTTCTTCCTCAAGTTTTTACACCTGTAATGTTTGCCAGTTTCTATACTTCGTTTTACCTGAAGTAAAGATACAGCTGACGCTACAAGCTGATGGAAATTATCAGAGAGGGAAAAGGGAACGATCATGGTGTTCTCTGTGTTTCTGTACGTGTTCAGTCTTAGCTGAAATAGACACACAAGGCCAAGTGACTTGTGATTTTGACGCTGATTGATTTGTCCGATTAGCTCGTAGCGTCGGCTGCGTCTAGATTCAAGCTGAAACATAGTATGTGATCCAAGTAAATAATATTGCACTCATTCTACATGTTTTCTAAATATTTCCTCTCTTTTTCTCACGCAAAAATTTCCACTTTAGAAGATCTCCAACGCCCGCGCCCGTCATCCGAGTGTCGAAAAACGCTGTCACCAAAATAAAACAAAAACGCCTGTTACCGTCAATTTCTAAATAAAAAGTAACGCAAAAGTAACGTGCACTACTTTCTGTCGGTAACGGTAACGCGTTCCTTTATTTCACAAGTAACGAATAACGTATCTTTCCTTTTTTGCGGTAACGCCTACAACATTGCGGCTGCATAACGCGGCCTGTACGGAGCGCTGGGTGATAGGGTGTTGACATTCATAATGATCACGACTCTGTATCAAGTAACGCTGGAAGGGTCATTCACACACCCACAGATTATTATGTTACACAAAATAGCATTCAATAGGCTCGTAGAATAATCGCTGTGTTCCTCTGAAACTTGAAAAATCGCTAAGGTACACAGCGATTATTCTACGAGCGACTTGAAACAGCGAAAAACGCTATTTCAAATCAACATTGCTATGGACATTTGCCTGTCTAAAGCTAAACTTCAGCGACGCAAATAATGCTGTCAGAAAATATTCAATCATTTGAAACTCAGAACATTTATCGGGCTATTTCATTCATTAAAAATCAGTTGTAGTGTTTTGACAGCTACTCGATCAACCGAAACTAAAAGAAAAGACTTTTTTTTTAATAAATAAACTCAACACGGTACATTTTTGGGATATCAGTCATCAAATATGGTGTAGCAATTGAAACTTCCGAGTGCTCGGACTGAATGTTCCTCCAGTAGAGCCCAGTTTGATTGTTTACTTTCACTTGAGTTGTCGTCTGACTTTAAAATATAACTCCTTCATCACCCCCTCTCCCCTTTCCTAAGAAAATAAACTTTGCATTGTGCTGTGCTGTACTTTTCTGCTCGTTGCAGGGCGCTAACCTAACCTTACAGAACTTTCTACGCGAAAGAAACTTATGTGCCATATCTGACTCTTTAGAGTTTCCACCTTCTTACACAAAATAGCATTCAATAGGCTCGTAAAATACTCGTTTTGTACCTTAGAAACTTAATTTGCGAAGACACAGAGCGATCATTTTACGAGCAATCTGAAACAGCGAAAAACGTTATTTTAATTCGACATTCGAATGCACATTTGCCAGTCTAAAGCTAAAGCTACGTGTCACAAATAATGTTGTGAAAAAATATTCAAGCATTTGAAACAGACAAACCTTTTTTGGGTTATTTTATTCGTCAAATAGAATTTATAGCATTTGTGATACCTACTCGATCAACCGGAACTAAAGGAAGAAATATAATTTTTGTGATATAAATAAGCACCTCAGCACGGTACATTTTTCCGATATCAAAAAAGATGTATCAATTGCAACTTGGAGTGCTCGAACTAAATGTTCCTTCAGTTGAGCCCAGCTTGTTTGTTTACTTTCACTATAGTTGTAGTACTCGGACTTCGGAATGTAACCCACTTATCCCACGGGAGGAAAATTTGTGTACCACTTCAGACTCCTGACATTTTCCACCTTCTGGAAAACCAAGCTTACAAAAAGGTTTTTAATTCGTGTGGAACCAACCGTTCATGAATATGTGAGGGTGTGCTAACAAGGCGTGAGGCTGGATGAGTGTTTTCCCGTGTGCGTCTTCGCATACCTGGTGTTAGTTCTCTGGGCATCATAAGATTGGGGGCAGAAGTCGCACCGCCGTCCGTCCCACCCTGCGGGTCCATCTTGCACGGTTGCCTCCGGATTTCAACTCCTTGGGAGGAGAGCTCCGCGCCCCTGTCCTCGCAGTCCGTTCTTTGGCATTCGTTGTCGGATGCTGCGTGGGAAATTTCAGTAAGGAGTGAAGACAAACTTTTATTTGGATGCATTCTTTTTATGCATACTACACCAACAGATGAGCCCAACCAGAACAAACGCCAAGAACAAGCAAACAGAGACACATCGTGCAGATAAAGTAGAGACATTCAGGGGTTTACATTCGCATTGGGGTGTGATTCAAAAGTTAAAATAATCAAAGCACGAACAAACACGCGCATCATAACTGGATATTGAACATCCCGAAAAGGTCGATTGTAAAAAATGCACGTGAACAAAACTTAAAAGCAATACTTCTCTATTAACCACGTACTACAAATGTTTCACTTCACCTTTAACCACTCGCTAAAGATTACGTCGAAACAATCCCACACAAATCGAGCAAGACACAACTGGATATGATCAAGGAGCATTGTTTAGTTACGTCGCTCCTGCTCTGTAATGCTGAAAAAAGGCAGGCATGACACAAAACCAACTGTACGCTATTTCACCGCCATAGGTTTTGGGAATTACACGTCAACAAAAACGGATACAGTGTGTCGGCGAACAAAGCCATGGAAGGAATAAGAAATGTCGCAAGTAGTTGGCTGAGCTGTGGCCATTCCTTATTGGATCCGACTAGTTGGTCCCATTAATCTGGGGAAGTCTAAGCCCAAAGGTCTGGCACTGCCAAAGTTGAGCTGGGCTGGTGGCTGGCCTCGGTCTGCAAAGTTTAGAAGGATGAGTATTAATAAACAGTCGCCAACACAAAGTTACTTTACCTGCCCTCAAATATCATCACATTGGATGAGTGAAACTAAAACTGAAGGATACCAGTTTTTGGAATTGGTCCAATTGACTATTCATTACTTCATTAAACTGCGCAGTAAATGATTAGGAATTCCGACGCAGAGACGAGAAAAAAGAAGGAAACAAACGGGAAAACGCGCATTTGCAGTTCAGTTTAATCAAGTAAAAAACTAAAGTCCACTTTCGAGATTAAACAGGACATGGATGACAACACCATTTATCAGTAGGAGGGTACCTGCCAGACATTTCAATCTGAGGGACGCGAAAAAAATAAGTACTATGGGACTACACCATTTCCAAGTGTGAATGTTTTGGCCAAATAACACTGACCATTTCTATTTCCACGAGAGATGTTTCATTACATATGCAGCGTCAAACCGCTAGCGAGGAGGAAAATGTGTGCCGGTTCCGTCTGTGCCGCATCCATGCGACTAATGCCACCATTTATAAAATGATATGCAGTGCAGATCAATCATTCAGGCTCGCATTCTGCCAAAAAGTAACATAAGCGGGGCCCACTTAGGAAGAACGAGTTTTAGCTGAGATACTTGGTTCACGTTCACGAGTTCCCCAAAAAACCGCATTGGTAAAAAGCATTTTAGATCATCCAGAATTTGATCATAAAACGTTATAAGTTGGTTAAGGGATCTCTATTATAAATTGATCACCATTCAACACTAGTACAAAGTTTCCAGTCCTTATTGCAACGCAAATGTTTGTTTTCTCCTTTTTGTTTCTTCCAACTCAAGACAAGTTTGAGTGGCTTTCTCCTCTTGATCTTAAGAGAAGGTGAAACGCTTCTTCCGAAAAATAAGATAGAGGTTGATTTCTGCGTTGTTTGATCCCGTAATTCTGAAGATTTCGTTTGTTTTCCCCGAAGATGTAACTAAATGCGAGAACACACGAAAGAACTCCGACCAGTCGTTACAACATAAAAGGATCTTTCGGCCGCCAAGCGTGTGTCGCTCGTGAGCAATTGCAGGCTTGCCACTCCCCCGCACTGGCAGCAATCATGACGTCTTTTTTTTCCCCCTTTTTGAAAATAGCAAGAGTCGCGCGCATAACTTCGATAGGCACTGAAGATGCGTGAGAGCGGAGATCCCGGAAACTCCTTTTATGATGGCACGCTCCGGGAAGGAGGGGCTTCAGCGGTACTTTGAAAATTATTTTCTGCTGCCTCCGTGCATGAAATTGAAAAACAATTTCAACATTGGGCTTCCTGGAGGGCAAATTAAGACAATTTAACTGTGTTTCCTCAATTACAAAACGGCTTCAGCTTCCCTTTGAAGACGTCTTATTTTCAAGACCGCCATAGCTTTAAGCAGCATTTCGAATCCCTCGATAGTTCATCTGAGGTTTTGTTTATGCATTTTTAACAACTTCTACACACCTCCTCTGTAAAGTCTTCCCGGACCCTGAGGGCATGGTTCAGGCTGGAACATGGCTCTTATTACTGATTTTGTTCAGCCCTGTTCACCCAACTTTTCAAAACCAACTTTAGGGGTCGGTTTCGGTACCTGGTGAGAGCGATAGCATTCTCGGTTACTGATTGGACATGACGCCTCAGCGTTTTGCTCTGCGAGAGTTATCGACAAGTGCGAAGTCATGTCACTAGATAATCTCTAGTCTGTTCGCGAATCCTTGTGGTGAGAGCTTCTCACTAACACACGGATGGTGACAGGGTTCTCGAGGTAGTTAAGGTATTTGTCCCGTGTACTACTTACATAGAAGAATTTGAGCTATATAGGGCAGCGGGGCTGGAAATTTGCAGAGGGAGCGCTTGTTGTCGATCTCATTGAACGGGAAGTATAGCAGACCATTTTAGTTTCAGCTTGCGTCCCGTGTCACTTTCTCGTGGCACTCGCCTTTTAGCAGACGGCTGCCTTTATTCCGGTTCGTTTACGGAAGACGTAAAACATTTTCTTGTTTTCTCTTTGTCTGCGAATGACGCTTCGTAGCAGCCGAATTCTGTTGTTCACCTAAGTTAGCAGACTAGTCATCTGCAGACGTTTTCTTGACTCGCTCCGTAAAGATCCGGTAACACTGCTCGTACACCAAGCAAAAAGCAGTGTGCAAATACCATCTGAGGCTCGTTTGTTTCTCGTGTCATTTCATATTGGGCCTACCAAAACTGACTGCGGACGTGTTCAAAGCACACATATGTGTGCTTTGAACAGGTCTGCAGATAGTTTTCTTAAGACCCAATATGAGAGTACGGTCATAAAGGAACGAAGTTCGGCAGTTGACACACTTGTGACTGTTTACGACCGGAGGGGCTTGTGAACCATCTTGTGACTGCTGATGACCGGCCGCTGCGCTGAAGGTCATAAGTAGTCACCAGTGTTTTAAGCATGTGCGGTTGTAAGCATGGCAATAAGAAATTAGTATACCTGCCTTTACTTGAGCAAACAATAAAGCAAACACGCAGATAGTGCACGCTGTTTCACCGAATTAGAGATAAGACACCACCTTCAAGATTCGACATAATAAACCAAAAGTAAGACACACAATTCAGTTTGTCCGCATTAAGGCACACTTTGAGGGATTATACATATTCAATCAATAAATGTATGAAAGGCTTTGAAAGGAGTGGGAGGGGTGGGGGGGGGGGGGGGGGGGGGGTGAGGGCGTTAAATAGGCAAAGTGAGGTAAGGCAGACAATGGAAAGTTTACACGCTGCAGGCTCAACTGTAGCCATCTCATTTGATCCGACTCTGTCGCATACGTGTAAAGACATAATGTAGCACAAAGACGTTGCACCACAGAAAGGGGACTCGGCTGGTGACAGACCAACTTTCCAAAGCTGCAAAATGTCGTTCACATCTGCGTCCAAATTCCTGCCGAGTTTGATCTGCAAGGTTAGAAAGACGACGGTTAATAAACAGGGAGGAACGGAAAGCGACAATAATTGTTTGTACCTTTAACTACGTATATTCAGCAAGGTGAAACTGGGTGCGAAATTTAAAAAAAAATAACAAGCATCGCAAATGAGGAATGAAAGAGTACAAGTAAGATTTACATTTGAATGAGATGAGTATGCACTGATCACCCCAACCAGGTAATATTCAGAGCCAACCTAGCCAATCAGTACACGAGATGTATCGTCCACTTCAACCCCTGCTATACTATGCTGTGATTGAAATTCTGTTCTCGTGAGTTTGACACGCCGTATTCCGAAAACAAATTGAGTATTAAAACTTGGTTTGGGGCTGAGGCGTGTGAAGATGCGACCCATTAGGTTTCAGATTAATGGGGGTGAACGCAGTACAGCTGCGTTTGCATCTTCGGGTGTCAGTCGTCCCAGCTCTTCTTCTTAGATGTTGTTTAGATTTCAATGGCTGCTGTGTGAATCTTCTTTCCTTCGCCGTTCTGTACTGCCTTGGTCGACTGTTAAAGAGACACATCGTGTATGAGATTAATAAATTCTGGTGTTTTCTAGCTGAGGAACAACCTTAGGTGTCTACTTCTGCCGGTTGATAACTCCAGTCCTGAACAAGACAACAAGGCTGAAGAGGCAGCGGTAGCTCCAGAGTAGAATCCCTTAATCTTTCTAGGCGGCCCTCACAGAGCGGTGGCAACACTTGCGTCTGCTAACGGAGACGCCACCTTATCTTCCGACACTACAACCTATTGTCCCGACACTACAACCTATTGCCCCGACCAGCCCTTGCTGAAGGATATGAAGATCGACCCTATGCATCAAGTTCCCGTTTCTCAAGAACGGTTCGACAATCGTGTGGAGTCGTTTGTGGTTGAGGCGCTACAGTCATATACTAACAGCTGTCATATACTAACAATGAAAAACAAAATATCTAAAACTAACCTAAAAGCAGACTTGGACGTAGTTCAACTACTCTACTCAAACTACCGTAGTTTAGCTACTTTTTCGAGTAACTTGGTAACTTTCAGTTACAACTTGATTTGGGTAATTAGTAGTTTAATTTAACTACTTTTTTTTCAGGTAACTTCTACTCAAATTACTAACTACTTCGAAATTATATAGTGATTAATTTGCCCATCACGAAACTTTGAGCGCAGAAATTAATAAGACGCCGGCATATAAAGTGGCATTCCCGAACAAGGGCCCCCCTTTTTCGGGAAGGGTTCCTTGGGCCAAGGT